ATAAATGATTCACAGTAGATTTTATATTTCGATTCATCCATGTTTTCTACACACATAAACAAAAAAGTAATATGTAGCACCCCTAATAGCATTTTGGTATGCTCTGAAATCGTCAGCATGACGTCAGTGTTTTGCGCAGAGAGGGTGCGCAGTACACCAGTTTTTCAACCGACGCCATGTTGGTGAGGTGGATTGACAAATACCTTGGATGAAACCCGCGATTTCCAGCACGGAATGGAAGCGTAACTTCACGTCTAACGGTTACTTTTGCACCTACAGTTAAGTCTAGTCGGGCAGAAGTATTCTGGCTGGGGGAGAAGCCACGGAAAAACGGCGAACATGGCTCTCGAAAGCCTGTTCAGCAAACCCCAACCCTTGGTTAACAAAAATTGTGAACCAGACACACAAAACGAAGAATCTGAGCTCGCTGAGAAAGAAAGGTCGAGTACCACCCTTCGGGAATGTTGCTGTAGACGTAATTCTAACGATTTTTCGCCTTTTCTTCCCTTTTCCAGGCTCTTTGTTGAAGAATTTGATGTTATTCATTGTCTAAGAAGGTGATGTGAAGGGTGACATAAATTATGCAAATGAAGCTATTTTGAGAACGGCAGTTCTGTGGTCACGTGACATTGGTAACAAGACACCCAATTATTTTGCACGGACCAAGGACTGAAACTAAAATATCCCCATCAAATCAAAACGGTCTACCATTAGCATCATCTTCAACATTTGCTCAACTGTTGTCAGCAGTAGTTAATGATTAGCAAAATGAAGATTTTGTACATCATTTATATCGGTTTGCTGATGACTTTTGACACAATTTCAGACAATGAAAAACGTGACCTAGGTATGGTTTGGATGCAGCACAGACATAATTTGTCCTTGGATGTAGCAGCAATTTTCAATGAAAAGGTTTGGGTTTCCTAAGGCTTTGGAGGAGAGCAGAAAGTGTTGCCATTTTCCATGGTCTGATGCCCCAACCCACATACAACTGTAGGTCTGCATGCAGTTTTACATGTATGTAATTAACTGTATGATAATGTACCTCACTCATCATTTCACCCCACACTAGTACATGTCACTGCATGGTGGATGCTTTCATTTTCTTTAAAAAAATGGCTAATCTGCAGAATCCATCATTCAGATTCAATGTGCCCTCCTGCCACAGTGACCCAGTGTGCTATGTACATGTACATTGACCTACACTTGAGACTTTTTTTGATGAATTGATTTCAAAATGTTGCAACAATACTTGGTGATACCAGTAAAATAGGGAGTTCAGCTTCATGCTTTCTCCTGTTGATAGAACCTCATTGGTTGCACTTAAGAACACTACAAATATCTCTTTTGCTATTCTGTAGTCCACAGCTAGATGTCAGCAACATATCAAAAAGAAAAAAAAGGGTAGATACAAATGTTTTGAACCAGTAAAAAAATTACAAGTGCCATTTACAACATAAACTTACAGTAAAGGCCATATCCCCTAAGGCACCAAGTAAACACCCCTCACCTTTAACCTTAAAAGGGACTGATTAATTTGGTGGAAGCCCCAATAAAAGGTGAGCGCGACTCTTATCTTTTTATGTTGCTACAATGAATAGCAAGGTGCATGTCTTTCATTTATTGATTTTGAACTCGCAGACCTCCACACAGTCCCCATTGAAAAATGAAAATTATTACAGCTGCATGAGGTCAAAAGCCAAAGTTCAATATTTGCATAAACAGCTGTTGATGTTCTTTGAGCAAAACAGAAGAGACACAGACAAGGCAACAAGCCATTTTTCCATTCGCAATAACCTAATAAGGAGATCAATCTGTTTTAGCAATTTAATCATTTGAAATCATTCGTAAATTCCTGTAACATGCAAGACAATATTGCCAACCAGTTACTTTTGAAAAAAAAAAAAGAAGATGTACAGCAATGGGAATATACTAATCTAAAGATTTAATTATGCTGTAATACCGGTACATGCACTTAACTCAAGGGACCTTCTTCGGTCCTGGGTGAAAAATTAAAAAAAAATGTTGGCATGAAATTAAAACAGCAGAGATGAGAGAATCCTAACATAACCTCTTGCATTGACACTGAGCCAAGCAATCAAATTGTTTGAATGGATACTTGACAGCCTGGGTGCCAGGGACAGAATACAGGCCAGCCTCTTGACTCCAGGACCAACAAGTCCCCAAAGAAATTTTACAACATACCCCCTCAGTTAAGACCCCGAGCTTCCTGTGTAACTGGGGGCTGGTCTGAGAACAATCACATCCAGGCTATTGGTGACATGAGTCTAGAAAAATATAACAGTCCTAGCTCTAGTCCTTACAAAGGTTTATGAATAAGAATTTGTTGCATGGTAAAGGTGTGGCCTTCAAAAACTAAAAAATTGGTCCAATAGACAAAGAGAAGACCAAAACTATAGGGGAATTTTCAGGAAGGAGCATTTCCAAACCTGCTTGCAAGATCTTGCTGTTTTTAGCGTTAAGGTTGACACATTATTGACTCAAAGGTAAACTGAATTCTAAAGCCTTAGTTTTGTTCTAAACAGTGATGTTGCTGACTTTTGTCTAAGGAATTGTTCTTTTAACCCCTATACACATGCATTTCCCATGTTCTCCCACAATCTACACTCCATACAACAGACTCAAAAGTCGGTCTGATGTTTCTATCATTAATACATGTGCTACTGGCATAACTAAAACACCAAAAGCCCAATATGAACAACACAAAGAACTACATGACCACCGTTACAAGCTGCTGCATTCAATCCATACCATACACAATGCTCTTACAACTATTGTAAAAGTGTATGCACGACTTCAGGTAAGCCAAACACTTACTTGATGGGATTGAAAACTAGAAATGTATGTGTTGGCAAGCACATTTGAAACATAGATGTCGTGCTTACCATGGCTTTACGTGGAAGTTGTTCACCATACAAGGTATTGATGAATGTTGTAATGATCTCAGAATAAGCCCAGCTTTACCAAAGTACAGGTTTCCTAGGTTCTCACTCGCGTTTAGCAGAATCTCTACATATTTATCACACAAAAACAGAACAACTTGTTTTCTTATACCTCAGTAACTTTTTGCAACTTGCACGTATCTTGTATGCAGTGTATTGTTGATCACATAATTCCATTCTTACTATCAAGCAGTGTTTGGCATCCCAGACTCCTAGTTCTAGTTACTACACACCATATCCTGATGTACATGCAATGTTATCATACAGTATCATCATCTGATATGAAATGGGTTGCACAGTCAATGATGGGCTTTGGAAAGTTACATAAGCCATATGCTTTAAGCGCCTTGTGTTCAGAAATCCTAGATGTTGGCAAGGGTGTGATAATACAGGAACAGAAAAACAATATTTGGCATGACCACAGAATAACCTGTTAGTCACATTGAAAGATACTGATCTGACATGGTCTGATTGGTTAATACGAATGATTGTTTAAATGGGATGCTGATTGTGCAAAATAACAACTGCTACTGTTGTACCAATCAAAACACTGCTTAACTATTCATGTTGTCTGTTATAGTATCTGTCATGTCAGTGATATGACTAACAAGGAACATTCTTTTTTTCCAACAGCAGGCAAAGAAACACTAATACAAATTCCTAACAAATAAAAAAAAATGAATAAATGCCATTTGCCCTCTGAAGAATAAAAGCAAAAAGAAGTCAATTAAAAAAACATTCCCCTGTCCAAATTTGAACACCATGACATATTGTTCTTTACAAGTAACATGTAACAAGTAACAGATATATGTCTGTAGTTTTTGTTCAGATGACCTTTCTCTTGGCATGGACAGTCAGTTTGCTAACAGTAGTTGGAATCACAAATGATGACAAAGTAGGGAAGGGTACAAAAAATACATTCAGGATGCACACTATTGACTTGTACAAATTAGGTGATTTTCAACTTGAAGACTTGGCTGTTCTTCTGCTGTTATATCCAATGCAAATAGCAAACAGTTTTTTAGCAGTAAGATTAGGCAAAGAAAAGCTATACGCTTGGAGGCCCAGGTTGTTGCAAACATTAAGCTTGTGCATGTCCAGTTTACTTGCTGGAACTGCCAGTTGGATTAAAACTTTGAAAGTACAAATTTCAAGACTTGTAAGTGACAACATATGTATTTCACAAATCTATTAAATGTTAGACATCACGGACTTTCAAGGTACATGTCCCTAAAGCATGAGCCCATAGCCCCCCACCCCCCCCAAAAAAAATGTGGAAGGAGGCCTTTTATTTTTGGTACCACCAATCAATAATAAGAACCAGCCTACATCTCTTAACAAACAACCATTTTCCTCCAGCACATTTTTTTGTTTGCCCACACAGATATCAATATGCTATGGGATGGAGTGGATTCAACGTACTACCCCCTTAACAACTGTCTCATTCTTAAGAAATATATTGAAATTAATACAGGTACAAATGTGTATACAAGTCCCCATATAAAAGCTTACAATTGAGTGAGTGAAAGAGAATGACTAATTTGCTGGGCCACTTGTTAACTGTGCAAACTGTTAGACTCCTTTTTTTTTACTTTAAAGCTATCCTATTTATGCAATATATTATCAGTCTGGATTAAGCACGATAGAGGCTCAGCTAGGAGTTGCTACATAGTGTGATTATCTCTGGCATTTTCAGTGCAATGATGTTATACCTTGTTGATTTTCAGAAGGGAGATGCAGGGAACAGGCCATGAAACATCATATGGACACCATGGGAGGGAGGAAGAGTCAGGAGAAGAAGGGGAATTGGAGGAAGGAGAGGAGACAGAAAGTAGTGCTGCCTCCACAGAGGACACTGGACAGTCTTTTGATGGGGAAAGTTATGATATGCCTGATCATGCCAAACACTCGTATGAAGGTGATGTCCAGCTACAGTACAGAGAACTTGGTGAGAAAGGGTTTCATAATCCATACATGGGGGGCAGTGATGAGTATGCAGAGGAGGAAATGCCACTACCCCATGGTCACCTGCAGCCAATGAAAGACCAGGAGGACTTTGCTCAGCCAATAGGAATGGGGGAAAGCGAATTGAATGTTTCAGACTTGTTGCAGAGTGATAATCAGATACAGGGTGGCAATGAAAATGTTCCCAGCTCCCTTAACTTTGATCAGGATGACTTTCAGGCTCAGCCAGAAAACTTTATTGACTTCTCACAAACTACAGGTGATGAAGGCATACCTGGACAGTTCGATAATTATACAGTGGACAGTGCAGAGGACATTGTAGATAGCATTCTAAGGGAAGCAGCTAAGCCTCTTGCTCCAGAAGAGATAGAGCAACAATATAGGATTCAAGAACAGGTTCAGAGTTTTTCCGAGAATGAACAGAGACTTGTTCAAAACATAGCTGTTGATGAGGGTGAGTACGAAGAAGAGGACCCACATAGTGAAGAAGATCATAGACATGTCTCCCAAAGAAGATTAGATGAAGAACGGAAAGGTGTCAGAGGGGAAGAAGAAATAGTCCAGGGAAATGAAGAGGAACTGAATAATGCTGAAGTAGTTACAGAGGATCACTATAGGGCCAGAGGTCGACTTGGTAGAAAACAGTACACTGATGAGGCATATGAGGAACATGGAACTGTAGAAGATGTTAGTGATGATGAAGGGGAGTACATGGAAGAGGGGGAAGAAGACATGGATAGGGATGAGAACCCAGGAACTGAAGAACATGGACATCACCATGATTCTGAGGAATCACACGATGAGGAGGGTACTGCGGACGAGTCTTCAGAGGAAAGTGAAGAAGAGAAGATGGAACAAGACGAACCAAAGGCACCCTCACCAGTTCAAAGTGAGGAAGGATTAAAGGAGGCTCAAGATGATGATTTGGAGGAGGGAGAGCTAGAGGAGGGAGAGATTGATGATGATGATGAGCCCCAGGAAGCAGCCCCTCCTCCTGAAAAGAGACAAAAGAGAGAGTCACGAAAGGAGAGAGCAGAAAGAAAGAAAGCAGAGAGAGCTGAAAGGAAGAAGAGAAAGGAGAGAGAAAGGTTGAAAAGGAAACGTGACAAGGAGAAAAGAAGAGCCAAGAAAAGGAAGCACCAATTCAAAACCACTGAGAAGGAGCAGAGGTCCAGATCTCGGTCTCCAGGCTTCCATGGGTCCAGTCCGTCATACAGTGACCACAGCCACTACAGTGACTATGATGAGTTCAGCTATGGGAGACAAGGTGGTGCCAGCAGGAAGAGAAGGAGGTCGGGGTCACATCCGTACGACTCTCCGTATGAGGAGGACTACTTTGACGACTTTGAGGGATTTGGTGAGTTGACCTGATGTGCAATTTTCTTCTTGTTTTTTTGTGCAATGTGATGATTGGTACTTCATGCAGGCAATGTTGAAACTTGTATATTTTTGGTCTCTTCTTTGCTGCAGGTCGATCACCACAGTCACAAAGGGACAGTTTTGGCCCCAGGGGAGGCCGTGGGAGAGGCCGTGGGCGAGGGAGGGGCAGGGGGAGGGGTGCAGGACCCCACGGGAGGGGCGGCAGTATGATGTCCATGCTGGAAGGGGATGACATGGACATCAACATAGCAGCTAATGAAGGGGTAAGGATGCATGTAACATTCCTTTTCATCATTTAAAGAACAGATTGTAAAGGACCCAGAATGATTCTTGTAACAGACTTTTAGACTGGTAGGATTTTTTGATGTAGGTTTGTCCCAGGCAAGGTAACCATCTCATAATGTCTACTGTCCTTTCTTACAGGAGAGTTTTGCTGGCCATCACAGAGGTGGGCGTGGTGCCCACGGCGGCCCAGGCAGGGGGCGTAGCAGGGGGCGTGGCACCTTGGCAGGGCCTCCAATGAAAATGCGGGGCAGACCCAGACCCAGAGTGCTTTGTAAGTTCTGGATGGAAGGGAGATGTGCCAAGGTGAGGAGGCCTTCGGCTATCCAGTCAATACAATTGGATTCTGAAGTTTGGGTGATCCAAAGATATGTTTGAAATAGTATAAAAAGAGTATTTGCTTTGAAAGACAACTGTTCAATGCATGTCTGACAATTTTCATGTTATGTAAATTTCATAATGATTGATATAGACATCCCAGAATTTTACACCGGAATATTGATGATGTCAAAGATTGATGATATTATTGTCTCGATACTGATGTTTGAAATCATTTGTTCTTTTGTCTCTGGTGAAAAGTGTACTATGCCAATTTACAATGTATGAAATTACTGTATGTTATATTGTATTTGCCTAGGGACAAGATTGTACCTTCAGCCATGATGCTCAACCTTACAAAAAGCAAGAGATGTGCAAGTTCTACCTGCAGGGCTATTGTGCTAAAGGGGAACACTGCCTCTTCATACATGATATCCTTTTTCACATTACCAGATGTAGAGTGAAAAGAAATTCGAAGTGATCTCAATCTCTATTATGGTTGTGACAAAGAAGGCAAATGCTATGTACAGTATTTACAACTTCATTGTACCAGGGAAATCCCCCTAGCTCTTATAGACAAGCACAATGAACTGTGGACCACAGCTTAATGTCCTGTTTTAAGGACTGTGACCCTTTCCAGTAGCATGCATGTCAGGTGAGTGACATTTGGCAGGATTCAAACTCCAAACCTCTTGGTCCATCGGCCGGGTCACTAACCACTGGACAACGCACACTACCAGGCACCATGTACATTGTTGTCTGTTTTACTGTTACTTGCCTTATTGTCCTGTGTAGTTAACAAAGCATTTCAGAGTCAAATACCACATTCCTCACCCAAGGATTCAATTAGGAACTGAATTGAATTCTAATGATGTCCATTTACTTTGTAATGCCACAATTTTTGCTTCCTTGACTGTGTCTTTACGTTCGTTCCCTTGCAAGTTTTACCACACGGGCAAGCCATGCTATCAGGATGAAAACTGTCGCTTCTCACATGATCCTCTGACAGAGGAGACAAAGGCACTGCTCGACAAGGTAAGCTCCAAACATGAATCTGGTCTGAACATTTTCCAGGGTCTTTGTTTTTCATAAGGCGGCTCGTTAGCAGCAACTGAATATCATTAAGTACATGACTTTTAAAAATAAAGCAAGGTACTGTTGAAATGGACTAACCAACATGTTATTCTATGTGCTCAGTACCTGGCGAGAGAGCAGGAAGACCAGGAGCTGAGACGACAGGAGCAGGAGCAGCAACCACCGGATAACGAGCAAGAGGACCAACTGCCCCCTCCCCCTCCCATCATGCAGCAGGAGCCCTACCGTGGTCCCATGCCCCCACCCAAAGGCGTGGGCCTTCTCCCCACCCCCAACATTCCTCCTGACCCCCATGCCAATGACCCCAAACCTAAGATTCCCTCGCTGTTCGAAATAAAAGTGGAGCCACCAAAGAAACTCATGTAAGTAAAGCTGTACAGCTGGCATATACAAATGTAGGTTCTTGTTTTTTCTGATGTATAGATCTCACGTACAATATGCAAGTGTCATTTTATATTGCTGTATACTCCAACACTCTTACAGGGCTCAAAATATCACCTACATATGCAGGTTAGTGCACTAGGTAAATTGGAGCTGTATCTTGGAGCCTACCTATACTTTTCCTACACCGATCATATGTACTGGGTTTATATATATGTAGGTGTATGTAGATTTCCATTTGTTGCATCGCAATGTTCCGTTGGGAAAAAGTATTTCAAGTGCTGTCCAAGATGAACTAACGATGTTAATATACAGTATAAAAAGAATAAAAAGTTAATGAAACATCTATTTCAGGCACCGTTTCTTTGGTGAAGCTGTGTCGCCAACCAAGCAGGGTCCTCCCCCCGGTCCTCCCATGAATGTTGCCCCTGGTCCCAGCAGCCTGGACATCCATGCCCAGCAGACAGCAGGCTTCTACCACGCCTTCTACTCCCAGCAGGGAGGAGCCGAGTCTCCGCAAGAAAATGAGGGATGGAATGAAGAAGATGTCAAGCCAATTAGTAGGTTTTATGTTTTTTCTAACCATCTGGTATGCTAGAATCCCCATTGCTTTGCAAACTAAGATTGTTATGAATACTATCAATCATTTCACAATTCACCAATTTCACACTTCATATAATCCTTTCATGACTTCCGACCTTCAACCCCAAAATGCATGTGTTAGTGCCAGCAGCCATTATTGAACTTATCTTAAAATGACTCCACAAAATGGCCGTGAAATGTATTTTACCACATTTTTTTTCCAAGAGGAAATGTACCAATGTTCAAGGTTTTAGCTGGTATTGGTACTTGAGAAAACTGTAAAACCTATTTCACACCTCTTTTGTGTGGTCATTTATAGCTGGGTCAATTCAATATGGCTGCTGGGTGCCTCCAAGGTCTAGTACCTTGGAGGCACCCAGGTTTGGGATATGAGGTCAGAGGTCAGCAAAGGATTATGGCGAAAGTGTTGACTACCATCATTTCTTTACCTCCTGTCATTGCTTGACTAACAGTGATTGCTCTGTGAACAACATAATGAATGCAATGGCATTGATTGTTCTGCCACGACTGTAACATTGTCAATATGCTTACCACTGCCATTTCCACTTCACTTTAACCAGCTGATGATGGGAAAGTTGAGACAGAAGAAGCTAGTGATCATGCAAAAGGTATATGTGATGTTCATTTGAGCATGATCAGTTCATACTGTTAACTCTTAATTTTCTCTGTTGCTCCCATTAGTGATTTATACAACAATTTACAAGGAATAAGGAAATTGTTGGGTGTCTTTTTTATCTATCTAAAGGCCCGGTCACACTGGCCGAACTTTGCCAGAGCGTTCCTTTAACGGTATGGACGGGGGCCGAATTTCGACAACGCTCGTCACCGCGCCCAAAATGTGGGGGAAAAAATGAAAACACGGGCGTTGGCTTAGCGGTGTAACCGCTGAAGCCGGCGTTGCTTTAGCTTTGGTTTAGCGGTAGCGAACGTTGGTTTAGCGGTGACGCAAGCGTTGGTATAGCGGCGTTCTGCGCATGCGGTTTAGCACCATACCGTTGTGATGTGTGTCAACTACGGAGTTGAACGGATCGTTTTGTAGTAGTGCAAGTTCTGTTCTGTGTGTGTGTGGGGGGGACTTTTAGCTTTAATAAACATCATTTTTGTTAATCTATTCTTGACTACGTTATTTACTCAATAATGAAAATAAAACTTTGCAGATTGCAAAGTTCCCCTGTGACCCCAATAAAGTGATTGCCCGTGTGACCCTTCTATGAACATTTTACGTGTGGCCCCAAAATAATTGCACACTAGTGCACCAATCATAGCAAGTCTTTCAGCATCCATGGTGATACAGTTTTACTGTAACTTCCAACAACTTCGATATCATGATGAGGCGGCTCGATTCCAAATGAGCACCTGGTCCATTTCTCACCGTATTAATAGCCGCTCCGACACCTCTATATCAACGCCAAACCAAAGTTCATTGCCGACATGGATCGCTGCTTGAACGCCCGACACCGTTCCAGCAACCCCGTGTCCGCTCGTAAAACGCTTGCAACCGTTCCAGCGAAGTTTGTGCAACGTTTAATCGCCGCCCGGGCAACGCTGGCGAAGCAGCGGTGGTCCAGCGTTCAAGATTTCTGCGTTGGCCTAGCGGACCCAAGCGTCCACGAACTTGCGTCTAGCGATGCCAAACTTTGACTGGGCGTTGGTGGAGCGGGGGTGAACTTTGCCGGGGCGGAAAATTGCCCCCTCCTCACCGCTCGCAATATTTTGTGCAGCTCAAAACTTTCGGAGCGTTAGGAGGGCCCCTCCAGAAACATCAGCGGTGGCCGGGCGTACACGGCGTTGCTTTAACGGGGGCCAACTTCTGTTTAGCGGTGGTGAGCGGTTTCGAGCGGTGATGAATTTTATTCACCGTTCAAGGAACGGTCCAGCAAAGTTCGCCCAGTGTGACCGGGGCTTAAGATACAAGTTTTATCATGGCACAGCACCTTCCCAGGCTTATATAGCTGGCAAACTTCTTGCATGCATCTAACAAGTAGCCTTTTCTATAATTGTGAATGTTTGCATGTTGTATTGTAGATGGTACTGAAGAACAGCAGGTACTTTGCATGAAAATTTGTCTTTGTTGGACCAGATAAGTGGGTAAAGGTGATTGTATTATCATTGTATACGGTGGCACAAAGTTTGGTACTACATTCACCAAGCTTTGTGTGGCCCAAGAGATGTAGTCATTTGAGACCCAATGCATACCTCCTGATTTGATGTTGTTGCCTCTCTGACATGCTTAACTCATAGAGGATGCAAATAAAGAGGAGTCAGAGAGAGAAGGTGGGTGTACATGTAAATGTAATATATGTAACAGCC